TTCTTCTTCTTCTTCTTTTCTTTTCTCTGCTCTTCTCTTTTTCTTCTTCTCCTTCTTCTTCTTCTTCCTTCTTCTTCTTCTCTTCTTCTTCTTCTTTTCTTTTCTCTGCTCTTCTCTTTTTCTTCTTCTTCTTCTTCTTCTCTTTTTCTTCTTCTTCTTCTTCTTCTTCTTCTTCTTCTTCTTCTTCTTCTTCTTTTCTTCTCTTCTTCTTTTCTCTGCCCTTCTCTTCTTCTTCTTCTTCTTCTTCCTCTCTTCAGAGTTTCTTCTTCGTCTTCTACTCCTTCGTTTGTTATTCCTCCTTTGTGGTAATCTTCGTCTTCTTCTTCTTCCTCCTCTTCTCTTCTCTTCTTCTTCATCTCGTTCTTCCACTTCCTCTTCTTTTCTCTTCATTTTTCTTACCACTCTTCTTCTTCGTCTTCCTCTTCTTCTTCTTCTTCTTCTTCGTATTCTCTCTCTAGCTCTTCGTGTTCCTTGTATTCCTCCCGCGTTTGTTCTCTGTTCCTTTGTGGCAATGCTCTTCTTATATTACTTCTCTTCTGAGTGTTCTGAGTGTTCTGAGTCCTCTCCTTGTTCTTCTTGCGCTTCCTCCTCTTCCTGGCCCATCGTTCTCTTTCTCTTCCTCTTTTCGCTTTCCTTGTGTTCCTCCTCTCTTTCACTTCTTGTTCGTTTTCCTTTCTGGCGATCTTCCTCTTCTTCTTCTTCTTTTTCTTCTTTGTGCAGAAGACTAGAAGTGAACCTACTGTATGGTAATGGGATTATTTAATCTTTGGGGCTGAGACAGTACTCCGAATAATGTACTTTTTTTTAAAGATAGAATCAGGCATTGGGCCTGAGCCATTACTCGGACGATCATGGCGTTGCCTGCCATATCTATATCCCTCTTCTCCTTCATTCTCTGTCGCTCTCTCTCTCTCTCTCTCTCTCTCTCTCTCTCTCTCTCTCTCTCTCTCTCTCTCTCTCTCTCTCTCTCTCTCTCTCTTGCCATATCTATATCCCTCTTCTCCCTCTACATTTGTATGTACAAGTCACATTGAATTTGTTTTGTGTGTGGAAGTTACCGGATGGCAGAACTGACCACCTTCCGGAACATATTATGAAATGCAAATTGAATTTTAATTTTGTGCAAGTTATTTGAATGTCATTAAGTGATTTCATTGTTCCTGTTGGCTGACGTGTCACGTTGTCGGGAACATATGAAATGCAAATCTATGATAAGCGAATTTTGTGTTGGCTGTGACGTGGAGTGCGTGTCCCTTGCTTCTCCTCCTCCTCCTCCTCCCTCTTCTTCTTCTTCTTCTTCTTCTTCTTCTTCCTTTTCGTCGTCCTTCTTCTTCTTCTCTTCTTCTTCTTCTTCTTCTTCTTCCTTTTCGTCGTAGGAGGAGGAGGAGGAGGAGGAGGAGAATCCTTGGCTAGCTTTGCCAAGGTGGGGAGTGGTACGTGGATATCCTTTTTTATTTTGGTGAAATAACTACGCGGGAGTGCGGTGTTGAGTTTTGAATGCACAGGAATAACTGGGCCTGGGGCAGTTATAAACTGCGAAGAAAGAACGGCTCTGTGCGCTTCTTTTTTTTTGAGGGGGGAAACTACGGCGAAGTCAGGGTTTCAGTTTGAAAATGCACTTGTGGAGGAAGAACGGCCGGTAATGGTGAATGTATATAACCTAGGTGTCCGGACAGGTGGGGTCCCGTGGGGGTGTGGTGTGTTCGCGGGATTGCCTGAACTGCAAGCGGGATTTTTTTTTCGACTGCACCGAAGTTAGCCCTTTTTTTTTTTTTTTTAACGTCCGGGAACCCGGGGCTAGGTCCCACTTACACGAATTAAGCGATATTGACCGTAGATAGCCAAGATCAACGGCCACAATCTCTTAATCTGTGCAAGCGGGACCTTGCCTCCGCGCCCGGCGTCCCTTATATTTCAGTGGTGACAGGAAACGGGTTCTGGCGTGCGTTACAAAAAATATGGTTCGAAAAAAAAAATGGGGTCCTAATTAAGGGCGAGGCATCACCGGTGAGGCCCAAAAGCTGGACCACAACATGCCTCAAATCGAATAACTGCAGTGTGCAGTTTTTTTTTTTTTGCGAGTGCAGGCATTTCCGCTCATTGGGAACGGTGCACAGGTCACAGGCGCAGTTGTCGCAATAAATCGTTTATTAGGGCATGTTCACACTAGGAGCTTTTTACTTCATTTTTGACGTAAATGCGGCCAGGTACATCGTCGTCTGGCTGTAAATGCGGTCAGATACATTTACGATGGTGCTACTGGGAGTACGGCCTTATACAAGCCAAGAAACGGGCCTGGCGTCCCTTACAATTGGACCTCGCTGCGCTAGTCTCGAAATGTGCAAAACGAGAGTGAATCTCCCGCTAGAATATGGAAAGATTCACGGCCATGATTTTTGTCTTTTGTGCATGTTGAGAGTAGTGCAGAGAGAACTGCACTAATCTCTTATCTATC